GGTTAGATGAAATGAAAATACATCGTTCAATTGAGCATCGATGTTTTGATGACGAATGTTCATTGATGTCGATCGAAAATAAACTCTTCGACAATATTAAGAAATTCAATGGATATTCAGCAAATCTCTGGCGATTATTATCCAACACGCTCTATGATAATAGCACAACAGATTTATCATGTCATGATGATGCCCTTGATGATACAGTTTCATGTCTACATGGTTTTTGTCAAGCATCAGGTACATCAGTGGACGCACCGACAATGACTTCATGTGCTAAGAGAAAAAATGGAACAGAATTATCTGTTGGAATACGCATTACATCAGAAAAATTAACGAATGTAAGTAAATGAATGATTTTCTTTTCGATAATTTATGTCAGTATTTTTATAGTTGTACCATCCACATACAAACAATTATGACACAATGACCTATACATGTAACAGAAACAAGAATATTGCATGTAATAATCCATTCACATATGGTCTCATTCAACAAATTGTACGTTCACAAGCATCGGAATTAATCAACCCATATGGAAACATTCCAATAACGACCACACCCTCAATAGACACTACAACTTCGGTTAGCAGTACAACTTCGGTTAGCACGACAACTTCGGTTAGCACGACAACTTCAGTTGGTTCGTTTAGATGTGAATCAATGACTAAAACTCTATTATATTTTGTTTGTCTTCTATTAATTTTATTTTCTGTATGTAATGTGTAATAATAATAATTTCATGCATAAATATCGATGAAAGAAGTAGTTTCTATATAAATGGATATACACTCATAATTTTTGTTGTTAGCCATTTGTTCATTATTCGTTATATCGTCTATGATCTCCTCAGTTTCTTCAGTCAATTTTTCTCCTGAATCTAACAATCTCTCTGCAACAAGAGGTATCAGAACAATGAAACAATCGAGTTGCTCTTTCAGTTATGATCGTACTATCACAACTGATCAAGTAATTCTGCCAGGTTTACTGTCTATCAAAAGTAAAAAGAAATGAGTAATACACAAATTTATTAAAGAAAGTTGCTGTTCTTTACATCAACGACAGTCTATGTCCGGATCTGTTCATTTTTCTAATTATTCTTGAATAGTGACCATTATTTTATAAAAGACTAAAATGAGCTCCTCTGCCTAATTAAGATTCATCGTTAAAACTTCGTCGTCATTTATTTAATTATATTATTAAAGCAAATGAAACAGTAATATATGATAGATGGAGGTACTTCAGAGTGGCTTTTGATCAAGAATTAGGAATTGATTTAGAAGACAGTATACTTGAAGAAGTAAGTCTAAAGGAAATGTAAGTATGTAAAAACTCAAGCTATTCTCTTTCACATAAAACATTTTTTAATGGACATTTTTCCAAGTGTAGAAGAATCGTTGTTAGAAAAAATGCATGAGCGTACATTTTTCCATTAATACGAATTTTACGTCAAATCACTTACTTGTTTTTAATCTACGTCTCATCCTCAGCCTCAGCCTCACCCTAGAATGAAAATCCGGTTTTATTCAGTACCTTTTTTTGACAGAGAAAAACAATTCGTTCAGCCTGTTGAAGTAAAATCTTGTATTGAAATGCACTTTTTCACACTAAGAATTCAAACACGACGATGTTTGTGTACTCCGTTCGTCTTTCTGTTTTCATGTTAATATCTTTCCGTATTTTGTCGATGTCTTTTCAGGGGCGGGAACAGGCCGTTGAAGAAACAGAAGGTGTTGATGATGTTAGATGTAAATTTTTACAATCGTGTCATATTTTTGCAGCAGCAAACATGTTAATAAAGATTTGAAAATTTTATTTTTATCGTGGACTGGAAAACAACAGTACGTACAGTAACAAAACTAGTATCTTTCTTACCATAATGGTCAAACGTTTACAGACATTTTTCAAACAGCTTGATCTACCAATTTAAAATGCCCATCCTGCTCTTTTGGCAGATCACGTAGCGTACCTCTGAGTTCTTGAGAGAGTTTCTCAAAATTCGAAAATTCGAGAAAAGTTCAAACATACCCAAAAATCATTGGTGGCTTAAAAGACTTGAATATTACTTTAAAAACCGTTTAACTTCCGTAATACTCTGCACATTAATTACCTACAAGGCAGTTCCAGTGGCAGTAATTTTGTGAAAATCGAGTGCCAGGCATTCTTTAGAAATTCAAAAATCCAAAGATGTTGCGCCTCTACCAAACCTCATGTAGAGCTTTACAAATTTTAAAATAGTCTATTCTTACTCAGCATTGAATGCTCTTTCAAATGGAATATGCGTCGATGTTTGGGACACACCCTAACATGAAGTGTCGTACGGCACCAGTGAAAGTATCCTCATATTGATTAATATCCAGGTTTATATTGAACCTTTCTTGAAAGATTTTAACCTGTGAAAGGCTGAGTTAGGCGCTCCAAGAAACGTTTCCGTTTTCATCCGATTCTGTCCGAACTTCGTTGTTCACGTCTTCATCTTTACCAAATCAGCCCATAGCTTCTGACTTCCAAATGGAACATCATGAACTGAGAGAATATTCATCAGATTCAGACGAATATCCCATTGAGACCGACGATGATGACAATATTCGACGCACAAGCGATTTATTTTTAGACATGGATGATATCCGTCTTGATGATGAAATTCATAATTATATGGCAACGATGAAGGTAGATACTTTAACCCTTACAATCGGGATCTTCGTCCTCTTCACCCATATACTAACAAAACAACGGCTGAAACAAATGAAAAATTAATGCAATTTGACTGAGTTAGGCGCTCCACCCTTTTTCAGTAATTTGAGAAATCTCCACACGAGTAAAACCATGTTTTTTTCGTTATTTTACTATTTTTAGAATGAAAAAGCAAGCAGAAATTGAAACACAGACCTCGTTATCCATCAGCCCAACTAGGGAAGATTTTACTGACAAATATTTATCAAGCCTCCCACCACTATTCACAATAAACCGTGTTGTACATCTTCGTGGACGTCCAAAACGAACAAAGAAACATACACAGTTTTATAAGAAAAACCTTAGAGGCAAACCAACAGACAAATTTAAAGCAAAAGGTCTTCAACAACGTCCACTGTCGACTAGAATAGCTGAAATTTTAATGGACAATAACGATGAATCAACAGGTTCCTCCACAACATCAGCACAAGCATCAATAGAAACAACAACAATAACAGAATCATTCATAACCACAGCAACAACAGTAGCAGCAGAATCATTAATAACAACAATAATAGGAGCAGTGACAACACCAATAACCTCAACTGTATCACACAAGTGTTCGCCCGCTGATAACGACACTCTAACTGCTTCTCAGGATTCAGTTACAAGTAATTCAAGTAATACAGTGAGTAGATCTTTGGCAGTAGCTGTATTATCAACAATGTCCTTCATCCTCCCATTACCATCATCATCGTTCTTCACAAATTCAGTTATAAGTGTTGATGATTTACGTTCAACTACAAATACAAACATTGATGTTCTAAAAAAAATTGAAAATGATTCAAAAGTACATAAATTAATATAACAAAAGACTTCTCCGCAGTCATCACCAGCACGACAGCATCAACTACCAGTGATCAATAATAATTCAAATAGTAGAAAAGACGAAGATAAAGAAAATACTTGCATGATAGTGGATACAATAATTAACGAAGCATTGGAATTCAATCCACCAAATAAAGAATACGTATTACAGGTACTTAACGATACAAAATTAATAACAAGAGATAATACGGCAACTCTAACATTGCCTACATTTGGATTATAACGTAAAATCAATATCAATAATAAACCAACAATAATAAAAAATACTAAACCTGATGGAAGTTGTTTTTTCAGGTGCGTATAGATTAATCGATATATTAGCCACCATAAAATAGAAAAGTGATGACGGAAAAAGGCCTTTCTCCCAGCACATTTCATATAAAACTATAATCTCCTATTCATAAAAGTTATCGTATGGGGCCTATGGCTACATAGAGTATGTAATATTATTGATTTGATCTGAGAATTTTGCGATTTCACGTGTATAATCATGAAAATCTTCCGCACCCAAAAATAACGAGCGAAAATATCTTATGGTTAGCAGTCATTCGGATGTTTTAGACTAATTTTGTTATCCTTCTTCTACAAGTCTACTTGTCAAGAAAACCGATGATTAACCACGGTTATTTCAGCAGAAACTGTAGCAACATAGCTTAAAAAGCAACGGTTGAGCGTCAGAGCCGTATGGACTCAAAATTCCGAGTTTAGTCAACTTCAATCCGAGTCGATGTACTCTAAAGTGGTGTTTCTTACCTGTTTTTTACTGATTTATCCTAGATTCAAGTGTATGCAAAAGTATTTTCGAGTCTGTTGTCTTGAAAGTTTGAGTCCAGTCCATACAGTACTCTGTTAAGCGCCCATTTAACAGGAAAAACGGTCGGCTATCCACTATTTTTTCCGGTTACTGAACGCTTAACCGTCAGTTTTTGCGCTGTGTTGCGGTTTCAGCTGAAATAACCTCGGTTAACCGTGTAAAATAACCGTGGTAAACCATCGGTTTTTTTGAAAAATAGACGACATGGACAATCACAGTTACGAAAATCAACCTCAAATTATGAACTGGAATGTCTACACGCGTATAAAGATCATCATAATATGACAGTTCGGTCTTATGTCTCGAATCGGATAATTTTCCCGATCATCCTATAGAGTATATCCTGAACGGGATACATATCTCAATCGGGATATATATCCCGTTCGAGATATTGGTGTATCCCGATCGAACCATGTTACCGAACATGTTTAAAAGCCTATTTAAAATATAAGCCTCAGCCGTTGATCGTATTAAGTAAGAATTAAAAGTTTCAGTTAGTAAATTTAGGTAATAACATGTGGGATGATCATTCTAGCGCATTAGTATTCTAAGTTACGATGTCAAAGGTTTCCAATATGTAGGAAAATTCCCGTAGCGTGATGAGGAATCTGTGCGGGAATTTATACTTGTGAAGCTTTTTAGCAATGTATTACGCTTCATCCGCAAATGACTTTCCTGTTTTTCTTTCTATACTATGTATTCGTCTAAAATCTAACGAGAAAGTGTAAATCTCATTTATCGTTATGATGGTTTGAACAATTAAATGTTTTAGAATCACTGTTTAGTCTTTGGCGTTTTATCGCTAGTTCGCACATTATATTCTCTCGTATGTGCTGAATATACAAGTTGCAGATAAATTTTTCATTTTTTCTTAAGAGTTGTTTTTGTTAGAGTATATTTAATACTGACTTTGATACTTGTTTATCGTAGTTTACTGAAATCTCCGTGCCACTCATTGCGCAAATTACTGGCACATTTTCGTTGATAATGTTAACTTTTAAGCATTAGATAATTTAGTAATTATATACAGCAGAGATCATGATGGACGCAAGGAGTTTATGTAACTAAATTTATTAAAATTATGTTGTTCCTTCTGACTTGAATCTGATAGGCCAAGGACGACCATATTTATTTTCAAAGACTTTAAAGCTTTGCTTCACAACAGAGAGCAACAAAAGTATTTATGAGGTCTATATTAGCATGTCGACGAACCTTTCTGTTCTGCGTTGTCATCATTCGATACTTGGGGATTCTCAAGACTTTATAAGCTGTTTTAAGAGAGGATTTGCCAGGTCAGCGAAAAAGCGATCGCTTGAAAATTTACAACCTATGTTTTTTATTGGGGGCTTCGATTCTACACATGAAACTGTGGGAATGAAAAAATTTTTAAACTTTCAGACCTTATTTTGACTGAGTTACAGAAAAACCCCGGGAAGTCGTTCGAAGATTTCTCGAAAAAGCACTGTCTCTAGTATTTTGCAAATAACTTCATCAAATTTTGTTCATTCTGTTCGAGCAATGTCTCTTTCGAAAGAGCATATAAAAATGCATTGACCAAGCTACTTTTTCATTTTTTAGACGTGAAACTGAATTTTTATAATTCACATGAAGCGAAAAGTCATGATTTTGAAAAGTGAAATTATTCGCACAAAACGTAAGTATCTCTCGACCGTTAAGTTATTGCAGTCTAGACTTTATAACATCTTGTAGAGCTTTCAATTCTCTACAAAATTAGACGTGAAACTTTGTCCAAATACCTGGGCCTCATGCCGAAAAATTCGCTACAATCAGTTGTACTATCACCACCGCTACGACAGTTTTTTCCAAAAAATTTAGTTCTAATAAACGAAAACACACTTTGCATAGGAAATCGCTAGTCCTGATTACAAAGCAAGCCAGGTAGGACCGATTTAAACACATACATTTCGGTTTTGCCTTTGTATGTGAGAGTTCTTTGCCTCTTACTCTTATGCATGCGTCAACCTGAAGTACAAAGCTTTTGAAGTTTCATTGTGTTGTGGGATTTCGAATGACCTTCACGATCTCTTTGCATGATAAGTAAGTGTTTGGTTGATAAGGAGCATCACGGAAAGGAATTTTTATGTAATTATGTTATACTATCAGAAATCTGATTCTATCGTTAATAGTCGATCAATATTACGCCTATGCACTTAAGAATAACCCTGGCTTCCAGCCACTTGGATGTACAAGTCTATTGTCATTACTGGTCATACTGATTAAGTTGTTACGATCTAAACTTTATGACATCTTGTAAAGCATCTACAAGACACAGTTTACAGGGTATCTGAAGTATCAATTATTTTGCTGCGAATGGCAGACTAGCTTTCGACGGTTTATTTTTACTTGTTAATGAATTTGGACTTGACGTCGTCAGTAAATGATCGATTTTCGACAATCTAAAGCGTGCTCGAATGTATCTGAAGTCGGACTAAAAGGTTCATGTTAATAAATCTTCTACAATCCGGATCATTGTGCTAATTATGCACTATCAGTCGCGAAAGACTCCGATTATGATCACAAGTGTGATCATCCTCACGACGATGTGTGTAACGAATGTGAGAACCTTGCTAGCATATTGAAAAGAATACACGATGCCATAACTGACAGCAATCAATTTGATCCAGAAATACTCGAACGAACACTGGAAAAATTCAAAATGTGCACGAACTCGACTGACGCGTGGAAATGCCATATACTACGGGCCGTCAATCAAGACATTTGCAGACAGGAGACACTTGAAAACCTGTCGCCCGACTCAGTCTACGTGTGCGTGGACTGGGCGATGAAGTGGATTCCAGAAAGTTACCGGGAATCCCAGGAAAATTTCTTTAGCCAACGCCGGTTATCCTGGCATATCAGTGTAGTAGAAAAGAAAGAAGAGGATGCCAACGGTACAGTGCCAAAAGAGGACTCATCATCCGACGACGAAGATAACTATATCGATTCGAGTGAAGAAGAGGAATGGCGCTCACTGAAAAAGCTATACTCGAGTATGTAGATATAGAAATTGAAAGGTATCCTCTCGTTTCACCACGTCTCATTTCGTCCAATACTTGCTTCGTTCCCTCTCGTTTCGTCCCGTTTATTTTCGATCATTCTACTCATTTTATAACAACTCATTTTTTTTCTACCAACTGCATACTAATCATTATTAATATAATTAATTAAGATAATATAAGAAATTGATACATGGCTTTATAAGTTACATTTATTATTTTATTTACGAGTTACAATGAAATATATAATTTTACAGTATTAACACATTTGCCACATTTAAGTGCAAATTCAGTTCCAGACAAAGTAACATTTTCATATCTTTTAAAAATATTCCTTCAATTTATTATCACACTTATTGTAGACACTTTCTTCCGTTTGACTGTTTGTGTGAAACATTCTGTATAACGTGTATTGAATTTGAATATTGAAATTGAAGAAATATTTTTAAAAGATATGAAAATGTTACTTTGTCTGGAACTGAATTTGCACTTAAATGTGGCAAATGTGTTAATACTGTAAAATTACATATTTCATTGTAACTCGTAAATAAAATAATAAATGTGCCTTATAAAGCCATGTATCAATTTTTACTATTTATTATTCACGATGAAAAGTAATGTATATTTAACAAAGCGTCGATTCATCTTGACAAGAGAAACATAAGTTATGTCGTTGATCGGCTCTTTATCTACGAATTAGTTATTAATTGAGACGTTCTATGTCGAAAGTGGCTGATGTTGTGGTTAATAGGAAGTTTTAGTCACGAGTAGTCGAGGAGTTTACTTTTTCCCTATTGGATGAATGCCACATAAGAAACAGAATGCACTTTACACCCAAAAATATCATGAAGAGTTCATCTTCTTTTATAGCGAATTTATTGTTTCATCGATGTGAATGGACGAAACGCCTTCTAAAATATATTTTTCGAAGGCTTTCTGCACAGCTAGTTCTCTAGGAACCATCTGAAAATTCCCAAAGAACTCAGTATTATGTTCGTTGAAATTTATGTAGTTTATTACCGATATGTATACATTTTTTCAACTAGCGTTGTGTGGAAATTCATTGGATTTAGCAATGCCAAGTCCGCTCTAGAACCAAAATCAACATATTTAAAAAATTGAGTTTTTCAATGACAGTATAAAAAAAAGAACTGATATATATTTTTTTTCCCTTAGATACGATAGCCATGATCGAGTAAAAAGATTATTTTATCTTCTAATCAGAAAAATCGGATGGATTTGCTATTTGATACCATCGGCAATTAAATGTAACAAGTGCAAAACGGCAGAAGTAACAAAAACCAGTCAGCAATCACAACCATTACAGCGAATTGCTATTATTGATGTTTTAAGTTACTTATCCCTTTATTGATTCATCAACAAACGATAATA